GTGCTGCGACAGATTTGTGCGCCCTAGGTCGAACGGTCCCCGGCTGAACACGTCCGAGAACTCATGCAATAATGAGTGCAGCTGCTGTTTCTGGTCGGGCGGCAATCCCGGCTCAGGCCCCGCCAGCTGGTCCATCCACGATTCGGCCCCTCTGTCCTCGGACTGGCTGATGCTGCCTACAAGCTCGGGCTTTGTCCCTGGGGCTCCTAGTGACAAGGGACTAACGTGGGCCAGAACTGTTCCCTCCTGCACCGTCGCTGTTCTATCGGAGATGTTCAGCACCTGAATGAACAGATGCTGGTTCCTCTGTACAATAGTTTCGGCCCCCACCAGCGCATGGCGATCCATGGCAGCTGATGCCGGAGACACCAGGATGGGTGAGTCTGGTCGGGCTGTCACGAGGGGAGACCGATATTGCAGCGGAATCAGCATCTGGGCTGCCGGGGGAATGGAGACAGACTTACTGACCAGAGCCTGCACGTAGGGTACTCCCCGGCTGGCTCCCTCCGCCTTTAGGAAATGGAGATGCGTTCCCTGGACTTCCACCCGCCCATTGGCCAGATCGATTTTCATTGGCATCCGCCTCAGAAAGTCCGTCCCCAACAGGCAGGGTACGGGCAATGTTGCGGAGACAAGGATGGGTCCTGCTACCGAAAGCTGCCCAATCTGTATCGGGGCTTCAACCTGGCCCAGGAAGCCCATGCTGCCTCCATTTGCTGCAATGAACGTTGTCTTGACGGGGACTAAAGGTCGGATTTTATCCGGCAGCATCTCGTGCATGGTGCTCGAGATGATCGTGGCTGATGCCCCCGTATCAACCAAGATACGTGCCGACACTCCCGCGATTTCACCGACCAGGACCGAGGTTCCTGACGTGGCCGCTACCACCCGCCTTGCCAGCTTCCTCCATTGTGTGGCTGAGTCCGGCCACTGACCAGGCGGCGTCTCGTTATCCTGTGGTGCATGGTGAAATGATGGGGGATGGATGTGAATGGACTGAAGATGGGGTTCCTCCCTTTGGAGTGCGTCGCAGCAGGGTGAACGCGCCCTTGTTACATAGTGTGGGCTTACCCCTGGGTTGCGGGCTGGGCTCTCTGTGTGGTGCAAATTGCCCCCCTTTGGTGACGTAGGATGGGCCCCCCTTGTGGTGTGGGGGGCCCCCCCCATTGTAGGGGGCAGTGGGGACTGGGGGGTGGGCCTTCCCGTGAGCCCCTCCCTTCTCCCCTCCCTTCCCTTTGTCACGGGGGCGTGGTCCCCCTGGTTCCGTCTCAATCTGCCGCAAAGCGGTGGTGAGGCGGCCCGTGGAACTGCTTCAGGGCGCACTGTCAATCTTGTGGGCTGCCTCCGCCCCCGGGCCGTTGCCCCTGGCAACTCGCCGGCGTCGCAGGCAATTGGTGACGTCACGCCCGCCGGCGACGTCACGCTCGCCCGCGACGTCACGCCCGCCCGCGACGTCACGCCCGCCCGGGACGTCACGCCCGCCCGCGACGTCACGCCCGCCCGGGACGTCACGCCCGCCCGCGACGTCACGCCCGCCGGTGAAACCACGCCCGCCCGTGACGTCACCTCCGCCCGCGACGTCACCTCCGCCCGCGACGTCACGTCCGCCCGCGACGTCCCTTCCGGCCCCGGCGCGACTCCCGACGCGGTCTCCGGCCCCGGCGCGACTCCCGACGCGGTCTCCGGCCCCGGCGCGATCCCCGACGTGGTCCACGGCCCCGGCGCAATTCCCGGCGCGATCCGCGACACCACTCCTGGCCGCGACGTCACTCCCGGATGCAACGTCACGTCCGTTCGCGACGCCACTCCGGGTCGCGACGCCACCCCTGGTCGCGACGCAATCCCAGGCCCCGGCGCTATCCCCGGCGCGATTCCCTTCCCCCGACCCGGACAATGGGGACCGGGGAACGACACCGACGGCGCCCACCCCGAGGAGACTCCCGGTAAGTTCGCGGCGTCGGAATTATAATTGCTCGGCCCGACCGAGAGGCCGGGCGGGAAGGCGTCACTCGCCTGGATCCTGTCGGCGTTCGGCCCCGGCGGGTTCCAGGTAACGTTGGCGGCCTCCGGCTCTGTGCGGCACCCCCTCGCCACATGCCCCTCTCGACCACAACGGTGGCAGACCCACGGGGCGTTCCGTCGGGGGGGCTCGGCGCGATGTTGTAGAGGCGGCTGCCAGCGACGCGGCGGTTGGTCGCGCCCCTGGTCCCTCTGCTCCGCCAGTCCCCGGATCGCCGCGTACACCTCCCGTAGCGATGGCTCCGTCTCAGACGTCGGGGGTCCGTCCCCAGCTGCTCCACAGGCAGCCTGTGGCGACGGTGCAGGTTCGGCGGTTGGTGTCGCTGGACCCAGTAGTGCCGCGGCAACGGCTCGGCTGTTCCCCCCCGCCGCGCCAGCTACCGGGCCCACGGGTGGCGCCCGGCCCATGACCTGCTCGTGGGCTTGGATGGTCCGGGCAGCCCACAGCGAGGTGCGTTCCCCCGGCGTCACCACGGCATTACAACGCCGGCGCGGCAAGCGTAGGCGATGAGGTGCTCGACCACGAGATCCTCGAGCGCTTCTTCAGCCAGGCGAGGGAAAGCTCTCCTCGCCAACACGAGCAGTGCACCCCTGTAGGATAAAGGGGATTCTTTAGCCCCTCGCTGGCGATCCTGGAACCGTTTAAAGGCCCCTTCCGCCGGGCAATAGATCTCCCCCAAAGCCTCGTAGGCCGCCTGTAGCGTGGTCTTGCTGTGCGAGGGAAGGGAGGTGTAAGAGGCGAGTGCTTCCTTGCCCAGAACGGATGGCAGCGCTCGTAGTGCCTCTTCGTCTGTCCACTCGAGAGCGTGGAAGGCAGCCTCGAATCGGCGGACAAACTCCTCCCAGTCTTCTTCCTCAGCCACGAACTTGTCGACGGGCCCCAGCCGACGCGGCCGTCCGGCCACCTGCTCTCCCTGTTGGGTGGTTAGCCCTGGGGGTTTTGGCGGGACCGGCGGCGGCTGGCGTGACGAGGTTGGTTGCCCGGCCGGCTGGTCGGCCTCCGGGTCCCGTGGCCTCTCCTCCCGTAGTACGCGTGGGGGTGGGGGTCCCGGTGCTGGCGGGTCCCCCATAGGGAGCCTCTGTAGGAGCTCCTGGAGTGCCCTCTCCACGCGGGCCATGCGGTCCTCCATGGTGTCCTCCAGGCGATCCGGGCCCCCTGCTGCTGCTTCTGATAGCAGGCCCCCTTGTTGCCCGGGATGGGAAGGATCCCCGGCCCCTGCTTCCTCCTCCCTTGGCTCTTTCCCGCGGGGATTTTTCTTTGTAGCCATGAGATCCCACCGCTGCCACCAGATGTAAAGTAGGAGCCGACACCAGATTGCAGGGGTCTCGTCCTTTATTCTTTTCCTTCTCTCCACACCTGTCCCCCAGCCGTCCCAATCTCGTTCCCGCCAAAGGCCCCTTCTTCCCGCCCGTTCTCTCCTTATATCTCTTCGATCACCCCTCCCACTAACCCATCTATTGGTGGGAATCCTTCCCCTGACACCCCTACACCTGCATGTAAATGACGGAAAGTGCAGCGTTCATCACAGATAAAGTTGTGCGCTTATAAAAGCGTATAGCCAGTGGGTTTTCACAGTACCTTCGTCTTGCAGAAATCAAATTCGCGTGAGCCCCACCACATTAAAACAATGCTCAGCTGACCGGGGGGGGGGGGGAGAGGGGGGGGCACCTTATCTATGTCACGTGCTGTGGCTCACGTGACTTCTGCCACGACAATGTCGGGATGTTTTCGCCTGTGAGGACGACCGCTCGTGTCGTGATCGGAACGTCACGATTATTTTTACTTGTCCACTGAACTTGTTCATATCTGTGTACATCGATATCCCACATTGCTTACACGTACACGCCACACACAATGAAATAAATAGAAACTAGAACGACTTCCGGGGATGGGCAAAGATCGAGGAATCTCTTTCAATGGAGCGAGTGAAGTGAGTTCGATTCAACATGTCTCTGTCCGTCTGTGTCTCTGGTCGCATGTGTGTCTCTCTGCCTGTGTCTATGTCGTCTCTGTCTCTCTCTGTTCATCTTGTATGTCTGTCCACCTGTCTTGTCTGTGTGTGTGTCTATCAGCGTCTGTCCCACCGGAGTCAACGACTGTCAGTAGCAGCAGGCGCCCGTTCAACTCCCACGACTGCACGCCACTCAAACTTGCTCCCAACACAAAGACAAAGATCCCCCGTGTAGCCTGCACATGTTGGGGCAAGTGCTGTTAGCAAGCACCTATTAAGGGTGAGACGGCACACGAGGGGGTGGGTGGCCAGCACCACGCCCGGCCGCCTTTGTCTCCCCAGTGGCGATGTTTACACACCGCACCGGGTACTCGTTTGAGGCGGAGTCGACGTAGGGGAGGCTCAGGACCGGTTCAGAAAGTCGTCACTGGCGGTGTTGGCCATGAGTGGGAATGGAACTCGGCTGGTCGGTGCGGAGCGCAGCGCTCACCACGACACTGCCGCTCCCCTTCTGTCAACAAACTTGAACTCTGACCCCGCTCTCTGACGTCACCGCTCAGCATGACCTCATCGGCGTCAAACGCCAGGGGATGTGTACCTCGCTAGTGACGTCATGTCACCAATATATTCACCCGACCACCGCTCTTCTGAGCGTGACGTCACCTCCGCCCGGTGACTGGTGGCTCATTAACATAATACATTTGTGAAAGCCGTCGCGAGTTATTCTGACTGGTTCTGCACCCACGGGATTTTTGCACAGCGTTGTGTGTACGGTGCGGTTTTTCTGGGAGACTTTACAGTTTTATCCTGGATTTTTCTGTTTGCGCATTGTCACTTCAAGATGTTGTCTTGTTTGTTGCGGTTGCACCCGATTCAAGAGCCGAATGGCTCACAGGGCTCTATAGTCTATACCAAATAAAACAGAAACACTGACATGTGGGCCGCCATCATTAACATAATATATTCACGTACGGAGCCGCTCATTGTGGGAGGGGAGCGTTATCGTACCCCGCAAGTGACGTCATGTCACCTGCTGCCGCGTGACGTCACGACGCAACAGGAAGCTGCCGCTCCGCCCGTGCACTGAAATCCGAGGTGAGAAATTCTCATCGTGGTTGTTGTGGTGGTGGTGTTGGTGGCGGTTGTGGTGGTTGTTGTTGTCGTTGTTTACCAAGGTAGAGCCTCGCTCTCTCGTAGGGGTGTCAATTGAGTAGCGGCGAGCATGGAAGCGATGTCCAGGTTGGATCTTACAACGCGGGGCCTAGCCACACAGGGCCTTGCCTCCTGCCCTCGCCTGATCGCGTTTGTTTCAATTCTCTCGCTTAAGTTTAATTTGTCTTCACACGGCTTGCCACTTTGTAACTTTGTTTTATTTTAAATATTCACAGTTATTTTATTTTTATACCAGGCCAATCCCGCTTGAGCTGCTATACCGCTCTTGTCTTCAGCGCGACCTGCCAACAACAACAACAAGGTGAGGCTTTGTCAACAGCCTGGCGGTGTTCACTGTCTACAGTGAAGGAAAAAGTATTTGATTCCCTGCTGATTTTGTACGTTTGTCCACCGACAACGAAATGACCAGTCTATAATTTTAATGGTAGGTTTATTTGAACAGTGAGAGACAGAATAACAACAACAAAATCCAGAAAAACGCATGTCAAAAATGTTATAAAATGATTTGCATTTTAATGAGGGAAATAATTATTTGACCCCCTCTAAATCAGAAATATTTCTGGCTCCCAGGTGTATTTTATACAGGTAACGAACTGATATTAGGAGCACACTCTTAAAGGGAGTGCTCCTAATCTCAGCTTGTTACCTGTATAAAAGACACCTGTTCACAGAAGCAATCAATCAGATTCCAAACTCTCCACCATGGCCAAGACCAAAGAGCTCTCCAAGGATGTCAGGGACAAGATTGTAAACCTGCACAAGGCTGGAATGGGCTACAAGACCATCGCCTAGCAGCTTGGCGATAAGGTGACAACAGTTAGTGCGATTATTTGCAAATGGAAGAAACACAAAAGAACTCAATCTCCCTCGGCCTGGGGCTCCATGCAAGATCTCACCTCGTGGAGTTGCAACGATCATTAGAACGGTGAGGAATCAGCCCAGAACTACACGGGAGGATCTTGCCAATGATTTCAAGGCAGCTGGGACCATGGTCACCAAGAAAACAGTTGGTAACACACTACGCCGTGAAGGACTGAAATCCTGCAGCACCCGCAAGGTCCCCCTGCTCAAGAAAGCACATATACATGTCCGTCTGAAGTTTGCCAATGAACATCTCAATGATTCCGAGGACAACTGGGTGAAAGGGTTGTGGTCAGATGAGACCAAAATTGAGCTCTTTGGCATCAACTCAACTCGCCGTGTTTGAAGGAGGAGGAATGCTGCCTATGACCCCAAGAACACCATTCCCACCGTCAAACATGGAGGTGGAAACATTATGCTTTGGGGGTGTTTTTCTGCTAAGGGGACAGGACAACTTCACCGCATCAAAGGGACGATGGACGGGGCCATGTACCGTCAAATCTTGGGTGATAACCTCAGCCAGGGCATTGAAAATGGGTCGTGGATGGGTATTCCAGCATGACAATGACCCAAAACACACGGCCAAGGCAACAAAGGAGTGGCTTAAGAAGAAGCACATTAAGGTCCTGGAGTGGCCTAGCCAGTCTCCAGACCTTAATCCCATAGAAAATCCGTGGAGGGAGCTGAAGGTTCGAGTTGCCAAACGTCAGCCTCGAAACCTTAATGACTTGGAGAAGATCTGCAAAGAGAAGTGGGACAAAATCCTTCCTGAGATGTGTGCAAACCTGGTGGCCAACTACAAGAAACGTCTGACCTCTGTGATTGCCAACAAGGGTTTTGCCACCAAGTACTAAGTCATGTTTTGCAGAGGGGTCAAATACTTATTTCCCTAATTAAAATGCAAATCAATTTACAACATTTTTGACATGCGTTTTTCTGGATTTTTGTTGTTACTCTGTCTCTCACTGTTCAAATAAACCTACCATTAAAATTATAGACTGATCATTTCTTTGTCAGTGGGCAAACGTACAAAATCAGCAGGGGATCAAATACTTTTAAAATTCTTTATATTAAGTTCGCTTGCTTGCTTGCTTAGGACCGTGCAAATCTTTTGGTCGTTTTTTAACTCACTTCCCGTGATGCAATCGAGCTGACATTTTGCACACAGACTCGTTGTGCGTGACAATGAATTTTCGTGAAATTTTTTCCCCAAAATTTTACACTGTTTAGGGAAATCTTTTTAAATATTTATTTACCAAATGGTTAATGCTGGCACAATCATCTGACCCATAGGTGGCAGCCATCTCAAGCCAGAGGACGAGAGGACTCTAGCCGCCCCGATGCCACGCATATAAAGGATTTATAGTGAAAAACTTTGTTTTTACGGTTAATTTTTTTCTCTCACTGTACTTGTGGAGGGGAAACCGGGGATCCGGAGGGAAATTCACGCGACCACGGGGGAGAGAGAGACATGCAAACTCCAAATCAACATTGCCAGGGCTGTGTTGATTGATCCTCAATGAATTACGTAATGGAGTGAGGAAGCATTAATAGTGAGCACATGAAGGTGGCCAGGCGTGGGTCTGGACACACCACCACCTGTGAACCATGCCAGTGCGTGACAGTGGGGGTGGGGTGGCACGTGTCCCCCCAACGATCCTATCGAAATCCCTCATTTCGCCTGGGACTCGTATTCTTGTCTTGGATGCATTTCATATTCCCTTATTTCACTGAAAAACCCTGATAAATTTGATGCAAGAAAGAAAAAAAGCCGAAACAAATGAATTTAACTAAATCAGATGTTTTTCATTGAAGGAAATTTAACCTTAACCCACTTTTATGTAATGTCGATTTTGGCAACTCGGGAAGGGAATGGCGTGGCGAGCTGAAAATAGTCGCGACCCCCACTGCCACCGTGTGGCATATTATTACGTGCCAGGGACTCTGAGATGATAGGACAACAGTCCGAGTCCATAATTGACAATAAGTAACGGCAGTTACAAGCAACTCACAGAATTGTGCGCAGTTGCGTATACAGTACACGACTTCCCTGAAGTCAAACACCGTCAGCGAGCGCGATGCCAATCACACGCATGGAATAAAAGCAAGGGACAAGTCCTTGCTAACAACACCTTACTAACAACTCCTTACTTATTAACAACTCCTATCATTTTTCTTTGCTGGAGGGGTTGCCCCCCCCCCTACCTGAAAATCCTGGCTCCACCTCTTGAGTTTGTGACAGTGTAAAGTTTGTATTTGCAGTAAAGTCTATCAACTCTATTGAGCACGGAGGTGAAATGTAACCAGTAGTTTATTTTTGCTTTCCTCTGGAACTCTTTGTAAGAATGGAGTCAGGAAGTTTACCACAGCACACACGCAGCTGAATTCTGAACTGTTCTTCCCAGCAGTCAAGGACATCTGAGCCTGGCTTCACACCTCGAAGTTGCGATTGAACATTAATTTATACATTTCTGCATAACACAAATATTATTTTCAATGCCCTTTGCTATTTCAGCTGAATTTAGCTTTCATAAATATTCCTTTTGAAGCCAGACAGCCGAAATTGTGTGCTCGGAGTTTTGGGTTAACATTCATTTTGAAGATACTAGGGCTTCCAGGCATGTTGATGACCATTTGCCCTCTCATTGTGTGCAATCACAGCCCGTGTGATGAATTTAGGAAACTTTTTCATTACATCATAAATATGTTAACAAGTATAGACATGTAAGTTACGTGTGACTATATATGCATTCCTCTGTGCCTCGATACTGACGTGTCGATGGTGTGGATATCATTTGTTTCTGTCTGCAGCTGTTGCTTCCTCTGCAGAATTGATCTGATGGAGCAAATGCACTTGGCGCAGCTCGGTGAAAAAGGGCAACATTGGGACCAGCGTGCAAACAGCACGGATCATCCTGGGAACTTGACACAGCACCAGAAAACTCACACAGGAGAGAAACCTTTCAAGTGCACTGTGTGTGACAAGGCATTTGCATGGCCATCCGCTCTTCAGGCCCACCAGAGAAAACACACAGGAGAGAAACCTTTCAAGTGCACTGTGTGTGACAAGGCATTTGCATTGCCATCCGCTCTTCAGGCCCACCAGAGAACACACACAGGAGAGAAACCTTTCAAGTGCACTGTGTGTGACAAGGCATTTGCATGGCCATCAGTCCTTCAGGCCCACCAGAGAACACACATGGGAGAGAAACCCTTCGAGTGCAGTGTGTGTGGGAAGGCATTTTCAAAGTCAACTGTTCTTAAAAAACACCAGAGAACACACACGGGAGAGAAACCCTTCAAATGCACTCTGTGCGATAAGGCGTTTTCAGATTCATACAATCTTTTAATACACCAGAGAACTCACACAGGAGAGAAACCCTTCGAGTGCAGTGTGTGTGGGAAGCCATTTGCACATTCATCTACTCTTGTAATACACCAGAGAACACACACGGGAGAGAAACCCTTCAAGTGCAGTGTGTGTGTGAAGGCGTTTGCACATTCATCTCATCTTGTAGCCCACCAGAGAACACACACGGGAGAGAAACCCTTCATGTGCAGTGTATGTGGGAAGGCGTTTGCACATTCATCTTCTCTTATAGCACACCAGAGAACGCACACGGGAGAGAAACCCTTCATGTGCAGTGTGTGTGGGAAGGCGTTTGCACATGCATCTCCTTTTGCAGCACACCAGAGAACACACACAGGAGAGAAACCCTTCAAGTGCAGTGTGTGTGGGAAGGCGTTTGCACATTCATCTCCTCTTGTAGCACACCAGAGAACACACACGGGAGAGAAACCCTTCAAATGCACTCCGTGCGGGAAGGCGTTTACACTTTCATCAAATTTTCATGTCCACCAGAAAACACACAAGCATCAGAAGATCCACAAGGAGTGGAGTCTGAAAACAGCTTGTGAAACTCAAAATGCCGCAATGAGCCCATCCCTCATCAAACAAGAACCGGAAGAATATCCCAGCTTGGACACTTGTAATGGTATCGAGGTGGAATATGAAGAGGTGACGGTTAAATGTGAAGAAGTGATGGTGAAGAGCGAAGAAGTGATGGTAAAATGTGAAGATGAGGATTCAACTCCAAAATGGGACCTTCACATCAATGGAGGCAACGTGAAGCAGGAGGAGAATTCTGACTGTGAGGCAGAGCAAGGCAACTCCCAGCAGTTTGTGGAAGTGGAGGTGTGGGTGGACTTCCTCCGAGACAAGACAAAGTCAAATGGAGACCCGGTAGATGCGTAAGCTTGAGACGATGTCGCCCCAATAGATGCACCTTTGTCACAGGCCTTTAATGACAAGAACGTGAAGTTGAACACTCAATTCATAGGTTCAACCTGCAGAGTAAGAGCAGCCAGTCTTTGTGGACCTGTGGGTTGGTTAGGTCTCTAACCAGAAGCGAGAGCCAAAAAGCTCCCAAGCATTCACTA